CCATGTTCGCAATTTCGCAACATTTTTTTGTCTTTGTTATGCGATGATCTTTCACTCTGCCACAGGAAATCGTTATCTTGTGCAGAAACGCTCTGACATAAAGCAATATCAGTAAAGGAAACAAAAAGGGAAATTTCTATTTAATAAATGTCATAGATATAATAATTCATAAATATCATAACTTGCGGATGAAGTGTACAAGATACTCTGATATTCGGTAAATGAAGTCATAATATATTTCAAAAGCGCGGTTCCATGTGTTTAAGAATATAGATGATGTCCCTCTTTCAAGGAAGGAGGTGGAGGTTATCTAAATCATTAGATAATGAAGATACATTATCAAGCAAATGGAGCAAAAAGGGGCATTAGCAATGTTGAATCCCTCTTTTCCTCCGCCCTCAATTTCTTCCTCATCCTTATTCTTCTTCCCTCCCTCTTCTTCTTCCTCTTCTTCTTCCTCTTCCTCTCTCTCTCTCCCCTTCCGCTTCCCCTCCCCTTCCATCTCTCTCTCTTTCCCCTCCCACTTCTCTTCCATTTCTCTCCTCCCCCACCTACCCTTCACCAATACCCAACTCCCTTCCCCACTCCAACCTGTGGGGGAGGGGAGGGGAGACGTGTGGTCATTGCCTCGTAACGCGAGATGAACCGCATCTATTTTTCCTGGCAGCCTCTTTCACCTTGCCCCTCGGCCTCCCTTTGCCCTGTGCTCGTCCGCGCGTCGTCTGTCCCGCTCGTCTTACAGCGCCGCCACAGAACAGGTTGTCTTTATAAGAGGGGCATTAAGTGTGTGTGTGGAGGGAGGGGGAGAGTTCGTGTTTGTGTAGTGTTTGTGCGTATGTAGTGTAAGGAAGGTGGTGGAGGAGGGGAGAGGAGAGGGAGAGGAGAGGAGAGGAGAGGAGAGGAGAGGAGAGGAGAGGAGAGGAGAGGAAAGAGGGGGAGGGGAGGGGAGATGAATGGGAGGGAGAGGAAGGGAAAGGAAAAGGAAAAGGAAAAGGAGAGGGAGAGGGAGGGAGGGAGGGAGGGAGGGAGGGAGGGAGGGAGGGAGAGAGAGAGAAGAGAGAGAGAGAGAGAGAGAGAGAGAGAGAGAGAGAGAGAGAGAGAGAGAGAGAGAGAGAGAGAGAGAGAGAGAGAGAGAGTGAGTGATGTGCGGTTATAAAAAGAATGCATACACTGATTCGCTAATCCTGTATTAGATATCTGATCACAAGCATCTGAAAACTATGAGTGAAACATATAGCAAGTGTATATTTTCTCTTCCACGCACAACTCATCATCCTAAAAATACAAAAAATACATGAACAATACACATGCACTCCTGACAAGAGCGTCCTTTAAAGAAACAAGAACAAACAAGAATCGCCCGTGGAGACATAACAGACGCTGTAGAACACTTCATGCCTTCTGCTCGCTTTGCTTTTGTTTTAAAGCGCTGCCTGATTTAATCGTGGGATGTCCCTTCAATTCTTACGTGTACTTAAAAACAAATCTCAAGTTGCGTTGAAAAATACATGATAACGTCCTGCTTGAGAGACGCCAGCAAACAGAACTCGAAGCGGCAGCGAGCGAATTCAGAGACCGATTCATTTGCTTTCTTGGCCAGTTCTGCACATGGAACTCGTCGACGAATATTTACAAGAATAACCACAAGAAATTAATTGACGGATATTTAAAAGTATAAACACAAGAAACTAATTGGCGAATATTTACGGGCATAAATATTCACTGTGAGAAACGTATAAGCAAAACTGCTTGTGACCAGAATGACGGCGACAATTAAAACTAATTGATGGTATGATGGTAATCGCAGGGTAATAAATAGTAATTTAGCTGCAGTATGCACAGTATGCAACCGTGGGTTTGCTTATTCACATATGTAACAGTCAGAGTGACCTTGACGAACTCGAGTATGTTGCCCTCTCTGTCCATCTTTGCTATCTCCACTACCGGAAGATGCCACAACTACGCCCTTTGTGGTTCTGTGTCAAAGTGTTGCCGAAGTAACAGCAACAGCACTGCCGTTGCTGGCGCACGCTGTCCGTAAATCACAGAGTTGGGAGGGACGGGAGTGAAGGGACAATAGTTTTTTTTTTCTAACTTGATGTATTCTAAATATAAGGTTGGGATTATGTATAACTGAATGAATGAATGAGTGAAAAGGGCACAGGCGCGCTCACATACATACACATGGAGAGAGAGAGAGAGAGAGAGAAAGAGAGAGAGAAAGAGAGAGAGAGAAAGAGAGAGAGAGAGAGAGAGAGAGAGAGAGAGAGAGAGAGAGAGAGAGAGAGAGAGAGAGAGAGAGAAAGAGAGAGAGAAAGAGAGAGAGAGAAAGAGAGAGAGAGAGAGAGAGAGAGAGAGAGAGAGAGAGAGAGAGAGAGAGAGAGAGAGAGAGAGAGAGAGAGAGAGAAAGAGAGAGAGAGAAAGAGAGAGAGAGAGAGAGAGAGAGAGAGAGAGAGAGAGAGAGAGAGAGAGAGAGAGAGAGAGAGAGAGAGAGAGAGAGAGAGAGAGAGAGATTTATACGAAACATATTGATCAAGGCCTTCTGACCACCGTACACACTTCACGCCGCGCACTACAAAGTCAACATCAAGGTAAAAACACTCATTATCCCAATAAATGGAAAAAAAAACGGTCAGAGAAACCCCTTTCCCACCTCGTCCCCACCTCATCACGAAGCAATAAGGCCCACAAAACCCTTGCACACCGGAAGACCCTCGCCCATCGTGCCTCCGTCGTACAGCTTCCTCTTGCCGAGCCACCTGTCAAGCGGTACTGGCCATTCAGGCACAGAATCAATACTCGGCGTAACCTCCGAAAGCACACAGCCACGCCACATGCCCACGGGCCTGCAACGCGTGCTCGCTCTGTCGGAGGTACGACGAGCCACAATACCTGCCCCGGCGACGAGCTGGGCGAGCTGTCAGGGGGCCCGCGAACTCTGCTGCGGCAGTGGGAGGAATGTGAGGGGAAGAGCTATGAAGGGTGAGGGCTATGAAGGGTGAGGGCTATGAAGGGTAAGGCCGGGAAAGGCTCTTAGGAGGTGGAGGGAAGATGGGGGAGGGTCCATTGGGTAAAAGGAAGGGGAGAGGGCCCTTAGTGGTTGCGGAAGGAAGGGGAGAGAGCTCTTAGGAGTTGAAGGATGATAGACTAAGTGATGGGGGAAGGATAGGAAAAGGGGTCTAAAGGGTGGAAGGAAAATGGACTAGGGCCCTTAGAGATAGGGGGAGAAAAGGGCGATAGGGGAGAGGCAGGGGTGTCCAGGCGAGAGCAAGGTGGTCGATATGGCGGTATCGGAATGGTCGTCCTTTGAGGAGACACTTTCGCAAACAATGACGTGTTTAACCTAGTGATTTTACACCTAAAATGCCAGGAAACGTGAACAAACGAAAGCACTTGCTTGAACGAGACCAACATAAACAACTAAAAACCTAATAAACAGCACACAAAGAACGATGAAATAAACAACACAATAAGGAATAAATATTGTGGTATAAACAACATAATACTGAATAAATAAACACTACAATACGAAGAAAAAATAAACAACACACAAGAAAGAGGAAGCTTAACCCGTAGATTTATCACGGTCCAACTCGCGCTCATGAATAAACAACAAAGAAATTCCCCGTGTGGATACAATGGGCGATGGAAGTTGTTTTTTATCTGAACTGTACACGGCATGTGCGAAAGTACCAAAAGTAAAGCAAATATGAATGCTCTTTGCGAACGCTGGAAATGGTTTTGTAATATATTATGCAAGCATGTGTAATATTGTAGCGTAAATATATACTGTCAATGTTTTTAGGTGTGTGTGTGTGTGTGTGTGTGTGTGTGTGTGTGTGTGTGTGTGTGTGTGTGTGTGTGTGTGTGTGTGTGTGTGTGTGTGTGTGTGAGAGAGAGTTTGTGTGAGTGAGAGAGTGAGAGTAAGAGTGAGTGTGTGAATGTGTGGAAATAAATAAATAAATAAATAAATAAATAAATAAATATATATATATAGAAAGAGAGAGAGAGAGAGAGAGAGAGAGAGAGAGAGAGAGAGAGAGAGAGAGAGAGAGAGAGAGAGAGAGAGAGAGAGAGAGAGAGAGAGAAAAAGAGCAACTGTTTCATTGAATCTCTCCCGGGGACCCATAATCCCAACAGCTGAATGAGCAAGAGTTGGGCGATAAACGAAGCGGACTATTACATCACTCCCTCCCCCCCTCAGACGAGTGCGAGGGTGGAGTCTACACACCTTAGCCATCGGGAGGCACCAGAGTAACGGTCCAGTAGTGATGTTTAAAGTGTGGAAGCGCAGCTTTTTCGTCGCGTACCATCGCTCTTAAACCCCGAATCCAACGGCAGAGTTTGCCAATGACAGTGCAAGAGCTGTCGCAGCGGCGGATGCGAGAGCGCCCATTGTGAGGGGTCAGCAGCATCAGCAGAAAAGCCTCCACCCGGATATAGCTAGAGACCTGCGCCGGAAGTGAGGCGGCGCGGAAGGTCACCTCCCACGGCAGCTTCATCGTGCCACAATGAGACTATTTTTGCTCGCGTGTAATTGGGAAACTGATGGGTCGACGCTCTACACGTCAGGTGCAAGTAGCGGTTTGCGCTGTTGACAATCCAACCCGGGGTAACGCCTGGGGTCAGCCATATATATTTCAATGGCAACAAAAACTTTGATGATAGAGAACATTTGAGAGGTCATGCATCTCTGCGGGAATCACTCTGATAAACAAAAACTGAACTACAAGTGATTGGACAACACATGCCGATGACGCGTTGACAGCGCATGCGCTTCGCAAATCCTCAAGAAATCAGTCATTAACAACAGATACAAATATGTACTCCTCCCACGAACACAATGCCATATACACCCACGTCATATTTCCCTCCCGCCGACAATCCCCACTACACCCACCCAGCGCCAACAAATGACACAAAGTCGTCCCGTCGCGATCCTGCGCCACTGATCCCATGGACGAGTGCCAACAGCAACACCCAAATATCTTGACACTCACCTTGCTTGACGGAGACGTATCGGGTGTTGAGGACGGCGCCGAAGGATGCCTGAGGTAGGGAGTCCTCCAAGGCGAACAGCTCGTCCTTGGTGACTGTGTTGGAGCGGGACTTCAGCACCGCCCGAGAGCCGATGGGGCTCAGGTACTGACCCTGGGGAAGAACCAAGAGCATTTTTTCAGGAACGGGATGGATGGGAACAAGTAGCACTTGTAATAGGTTTCTACCATCTCTGCATGCGACGCATACCTTACATGCAACCATACATAGAAAATAATATTACAAATAGATTACGCTTTACATATTTTTAACATTTCAACAGAAAATAAAACTAAAAGGCACTGGTTAACAAACCTGATGGTCCCTGAGGGCGAGTGAGCCATGGTGGTACTCGAGGCAGAAGAGAGAATCGCGCGTGCACTGGGAGATGAGTTTCCCGTCCAGGCTGAGGTACTTGTTGTTGCTGGTGTGAATGGCGTATTTGTTGTCTCTGAACTCGAGGGTGAACAGTGTGTCCTCGCCCCAAGGCACGTTGGCGTCCACCTCGATCTCGGTGCCCTCCTCGTTCAGGTGGGCGTACCTCTTGCGGCCCAGGGAGCGGAGGTTGACCTAGGAGGACGACATCGACGCTGGTTATCAGTACGTTCTAGGACGCATGACTCAAAAACATGACCCTAGCCGCACGGAAATATGTATCAGAGAAAGAAATGGATGCGCATCTCGGCTTACCTGAGGCCGGGCAGCGAGGTGGATGGTCCAGAGCTCAGCGTCAGTGGGCACCTTGGCCGTACAGATGAGCTTGTCCCCGGCGGCGCCCAGGAAGTAGCCTCGGGTCACGTTACGGAGTGCCCAGCGGCCGTGCTCGTCGTCGGTCACGGACACCTCGAACATGCACGAGACGTCGCGGTCCTCGCTCTCGCAGGTCACGTTGCCGTACTGTCAAGGGAAGCAAAGATACCGTGCTACTGGCTTGGTCGAGAAGATATATTGCACGTATGCTCTGATGTGCTCGGTTATTGTGGCGCAGAAATCGCTCACCTGTCTTGCTAAGACAATGCAAGTGATGGCGCATTTCATCTCTAAATACATTAAAATTTGACAAATGGAATCACGTACGGAAGATTATATGAATAAGGATTCAACATTACATACTGATTACATAATACCCACACAATTTTGAGAACCCCATTAAAGAGGAAAAGATGAAAACCTACCTGGTCGACGGACAGGTATTTGTCCAGATGAGACTTGAAGGCAATGAGATCTTTCTCGGCAGGTTCTAAAGTCCACATCTGTTTCTTTTTAAGCGAGACGCCTGTGGGTAGCAGAACATGTGTATATATAAGATCAGCTTCTAACAACCACATTTAGGACAGATCATTTTTCATGAAATGGCTTCTATGTGTAAATTAGTTTCCACTTTCTACTTCCGTAATTCATTCCAACGTAAACACACAATCCATTTTCACTTTATTGTGAATAAATTAACTGTCCATGGCTTTTATGCACTTATACGAAAACCTCCTCTCTCACCATTGGCGTTGATCTTGAAGCCGAAGGTTTCCGCGGTGAGGTACTTGGCCTTGGCGTTGATGAGGCCGATGGTCCAGCACCCGGAGCTCCCTGGTCCGTTCATCTCGCCGCACCCGTTTAAGGCGTTAACGCCGTTCAGACGAGACATCTGTCAACGGAGAAGAAGGAGAACGGTTAGGCAATCACCGAAAGCAGCGGGCGCCTTGGCTCCGTCTGGCAAGCAGCACCACACGACAGCTCAATCAAGTGGCCTGGAACGCCATGCGCGTTGAGGCTTCACTAACCCATTCGTCTGGCGCCATGCAAGTCATGACGCTATCGTGCATTGTGTCTCAATACCGGAACCGAATTACATGCCCCAGCTGTGAACCACTGTTAACTGAAATAACACATTTCCTCCCGTGCTGGTGTGAAATGGTCTATGTGGCTTCCACATCATTTAGTTCTGGCTGATTCGTTGCCATAATATTTTTTCATAAATGGCAATGTCACCAACACAATTGTTAAAGAATTATATCATAACATTTTCGTGAATCTATCAGTACCAATAAGTTTGTATATCAACACAGTTACAGTCACATGTGATAAGTCTCCAATGAGCACTAAAAACTAAAGCAATAATCATACGGAGCGTTTCTCGGTCGATTAATAATAATAAAGTATTAACTGCACTTTTCAGATGTACACTAGAGTCCTGCATCGCCTGCTCATTTCGACACACGATTCACTGCCATCACTCGCGAGCGACCTGTCACATCGAAAAACACATCCTTTACGTGACTCAGTCTCTGCTCCAAGCACCATCTGTGCAAACACCATATATTCGCCGTCTCGAGGCACCTCATCACATCATCTGTCCGTGTTGTGATTTCAAACACCAAGGGCCCATCTTAAAAGTCGTTCACTGAGATCTGTCGAGTCGTACCGCGGTGGGGGACTCCATGCTCGCCGTTGGCCCTAAGTCCTCAG